AGATGCTCTTTTGGTGCCTCCAGATATTCCATCCACACAATAAGGAAACAGCTCCTGATTTAAGCACCAATTTACACACTGGAAACACCTCCTGCAGTCTTTGCTGTACAGAGAATTTCCCCTGCAACACCTCACCTGGTGAAGATTTAACCAGAGCCCGGAGCTGTTGCATAGATAAATTCATTAAGGCAAAGGTGCTTTGAAATAGTTTTGGATGAAACTGTCAAGTCAGAGTAAAAAAATCAGCCTCCCAGAGCTGCTGCAGGATTTTCAAACGGCGTCAGAGAGATGCTGAAGTTCAAGTTAGACAAATTTCCTACCACTGTGCAGTGCAGTTTTCATGCAAAGGTTAATAACTCCTGATCTGTTCTGTGAACTCAGCATTTCTCCGGAATTTCAGCTTGATGTACTGCCCTTTTCACACATTTCTCCCTGCCTGCCTTCCCCCTTGCTAATCAGTTTTATCAACACAGCCTCAGGTGAGGAATGGCTTTCAAGATGTGTAGACTGGGAGCTGGAAATTCCTGCTCCCTGCAAGTGATAACAGCCAACAGAAACCTGTTAATAAGCTACAAAAACCCAGCCCAGAATCACAGTGGATGCAAAACAACGTCAATTAACACCAAAAGAGAGCCTGGCCCTGCAAGTTTATAAACCTCAATGCTCTTTAAAAAACAAAACACTCAATCATTTTGCCTGAGAGACGAGAATATATCAGTTATATTTGCTCCATATCCTTCCCCACAACCACTGATTCGTGCTTCCCTGTTTCATCCCGGGATTCTCAAAGGCAGGGGAAAATTTGCAGCTTCTTTCTCGAGAGGGAAAGAGAGAAAGCTGCGGGTTGCTGGGGGAATCCAACTTCCCGTGTTCATCCTGGCAGAGCACAAACACCGCTCACCACCCTGGAAAACTAATTCCTTGCAGCCTGAGAGCTCACCCAGCAGTGCTGGAGGTGCTTATTTTCACAATCAAACTGCTTGACAATGTCTCAGCAAGTCTGCAAAGAGATCCTGCGTCTGCTGGAGGGTCTGAAAGATGCCAGCAAAACGTCTAATTTTCTGAGTTCCCCGCAACAAACAGCTCCAAGAGAATAAAATGCATTATATTATCATGCAGTCCTGCAGGGCATCACACTCAATCCTTTGCTCCTACTCAGTACAAAGTTACTTTTGAATCCTACAGCTGGTGTTGGGTAAAAAAGAAGCTTTTTAGGCTTTTATGTTCGTTGTTGGACCTTTCTCCTGCCAGGCTGGGACATCAGAACCCCAAATGCTTTCAGGCTCGTTCACTAAAGAGCTCTGGCTTCGTGGCAGATATGTGTTGATTTTCCTATAATTAATATGTGTCCATTTAAAGTGATTCCAGGCATCACAGCACTCAGGTATTTGTATTCCCTCACCCTGAGCAGCATCTGGCTGTTCTTTACCTGGGCTGAGAGTGGTGGGAACAGGTTTCCTTCCCAAAGGATGCTGGAAAAGAAGGGATGCTTGCAGCAAAGCATCCGTGTCTGGGTGTGATTAAAAGTCATATTAATGCTTTGCTCTCACATAACATTTATCACACTGGGACTTGGAGCCATCAACATAATCAAACCTTGTTTAGAGCATGAAAAAGTGATTGGCTTAAGGTCAGGTTCAGTCTCTGGGGAGGACAAGGATGAGACCTAAGTCTTCCACTGAAAATAGCACTGAAAACACTCTGCTGCCTTCCTACTTCTGTTCTTCTTTCTAATCCTGCTTCCCTGGATCTGCAAATAGGACCTGGGGACTCCCCATCCCTGGAAGTGCCCAAGGCCAGGTTGGACAGGGCTTGGAGCAACCAGGGATAGTGGAAGGCATCCCTGCCCATGACAGGGGGTGGAACTGGATGAGCTTTAAGGTCCCTTCTAACCCAAACCATTCTGTGATCCCACAGTATATATTATACATAGGAATATATTATATTATATTTAATTATATAGGAATATTATATATATATAGTATACATTCTGCATGGGAATAAATCTGGAAGTCACAGAGAAGGAGAACCTTGTATCCCAGACACAAAAAGCCTTTCCCAGAAATCCCCACCAGGCTGATGCAGCCACCTCATGGCACTGAAGGGTCTGGCCTCCTCCTTCTCCACCCCTCAGCACGGGGTGGGAGGCTCTGACACTGCAGCTCTCAGGGAGAAACGCTGAGCAAGAGCTCTGTGCCTCCTGCCCCTCTGCTCCCCCCCTCCCGAAGAAAAAGCTGCTTTGTTGTTTTCTCTTTAGACTCCAAGCCAAGAAAACAGCTATAAACGTCCCCAACGTGACAAGATTACGCTGCAGAGCTGAGAAGTGGGGAAGTGAGAGAGAGAGAGAGGAGAGCTCTGGTACCTCTTAATAGAAACCCCAGCTGATAAACAGTGAGGAGCAGGGAAATCTGTGCTTACTCCTCACAGCCTTGTTTGTGCTAACAAAGGCTGGGGAAGGAATTACTGGTAAGTGGCCTCCTTTCCTGGGAAATTATTCAAGCGAGCAGGTGCTGCTTGAGGAACATTTATCTTCTTCCTGGTGGCTGGGAGGCGCTCCAGGGATGAGCCGAAGGGACCAGCAGAGACATCTGGGCTGGGGGGTGGAGGTGGCCACAGGCACGGGCAGGAGGTGCTGGGTGGGTGTGGGCAGGGAAGGTTTTATCTGCTCGGGCACCTGTCCCGCTCCATCCCGAAATTCCGCATCCCGAACAGCACAGCCCGTAAAATCCTGCTGTTCTCCAGGGAGTGAATCTTATTTATCACTCCAAGAAGCCCCTTCCCGGGTTGCTTGGAGATCCTGAGGAAGGTGAAGGCTGGAGTTGCTGATCTTGGAGGTCTTTTCCAACCACAAAGTCCTAAGCCAGGATTTAGGAAGCTGGGTTCTGGGTGTCAGGACTAACTGGGCTGCTTGTGCAGGGCTCTCACACCACCTCAGTCCCTCTGCTTTGCCCCTGCTGGCAGCTAAATCCCAGTTTTTGCTTTGCAAAAGGCTCAGGGCTCAAATGCAGCACTTGTCACTTCGGTTCCTAGATGGATAAATGCTCTCACTGCCACTCTCAGCTGTCACAAGGATTTGTATCTGCCTTCATTACATCCCTCTCAGTCACAGTATAATTAAATCTGATGTTGCTATAAGTCTCAGTGAGCAAAGGAAAATTCAAGAGATTAATCAGAATATATTGCAAAAAGAGTTCTAAAAATATTCTAAATAGACCAGAAAACCAGATGAGTGGCATTCTCATTTATTACTGAGCCAAGCTCTGGATACAACAATCAATTGAGTTGATAGATAACACAGGATCTTCTGCCTCTCCTATTTCCTTCTAGAAGCTCTCACTCAGAGCCACATCAAGACACAATTCTATTATTGCCTCTCTCACCCACTGGAGCTTATTTTTGGCTGTGTGTTCAGCATTCTCTCCAGGGGTGTGCTGTTGTCATGACTCTGAATTAGGTTTTTCTTTTCTCCCTGTCCCCATCCTGTAATAATTTTATTTTATTTATTTATTTTTATTTTTTTTTTGGAGCACACGTGTCCTAAGATCCTGCTCAATTCCGTCCTTCCAGGAGCCTGGGAGGGTTTTGTTGTTTGCTTTCAGGGCATGATGTAATTTCAAACACGCAACAGGAAATTCCCACGTGGGGTTTTTTGGGGATTGGCTTTCCATGACACACAATTTGATGTTTCCTAAGCAGTTTAAGCCCCTCTGCTTTGCCCCTGCCTTGCTTCAGATATCAACCAAGATGCATCTAGGCCATCTTTGGGAAGAACTTCCCAAGCTTTTTTGGCTGGCTGATGTTCTGAATTTGTTGTTTCGTGCCTGTCACGGTGCCGTGAGTCTGACTGGGCACAACTTGGAGCTGATTTACACCAAGAGCTCGAGGACTAAAGAGGCCACTTTGTCATCTGCAGCTGGGCCAGCTGAGCTGGAACAGGGGGGGTGTAAATATTCCCAGTGGAGCAGCCAGAGAGCTCCAATCTGGGAAAGTTTCACTGCTTAGCTCAGAGTCACTTTGGCTGCTCCTGAGGACGTTTTTGATAAATATGTAAAGCAGCAAAATAAGGCTTTTGCTGGTGTAAATGGGGGCACGAGGGGATGGCAGAAAGGGGCAGTCAGTCCCTGTGCCTTGCCTGTGAATTCCTGCTCCAGTCCAAGGACATGAACTCCTAAGAAACTCCAAATTTGCTGGTTTTAGGGTGGTTCTGCCACGCTGGTGGCACCTCAGCACCTTCTCCAGACCTGCTCCTCCGTTCCCCTCCCCAGAGACACTCCCCGGGTCACACAGGCAGCATCAGCTCACAGAAAGAATTCAGAGCTCCTCAAAATTCCCGGAAAAGAGGAATTCAGAGCTCCCGATGCACCTGAGTGTTCCCGGGGCTGGAACACAACCTCCAGGAGAGGTGAGTCCTTCAGAAATCAGGGAATAAACAACTCAAGCTCCAGAGGAGCCCGGCCTGCCACGGATTGCCTGGAGACAGCAGGGGGAATGTGACACGGGCATCGTGCCTGCCAGAGGGAAATTACATGGGGAGAGAGGTAGCACTGGAGGAGGGAGAGGATATTAAAAACAGAGCCTCATGTTTCAATGCCAAAATTATTAGGGAAGTGAAGGAAACAGGCAAGAAAAGCAGCATAATCCGTATCAGTCACTGGATGCTGCTCCACTGGGGGAGGCCGGAGGTGCCAAGGTTGAGGAGCCTGCCATTCATCATTTTTGATTTAGTGCTGCACAGACAAGGGGAACTTGCATGATACATGGGTTGTATATTCTTCTATTGATCCCTCAGACTTCGTTTGCTAAACTTACCATCCATCACCCCCCTCCCAGCCCCGCTCAGATCCCCCCAGAGAGGAGCCTAAATGGAAGCCACTGTCCTGTCTCTCAGGGCCAGGGTTCCAAATGGTTTGTGACAGCCAAGGATGTGGAGAACTGGGGTTGATCCACTCCCTTTGTGATGGATTGGCAGCATTTACAGTTATTTTCTCCGTGCTAGGGTGGCTCTTAGAAAGGGCAAGAGCAGCCTGGAGGAAGCTGTGCTCCCAATCCCACCGAGGTGAGACAAACTCATCCTGAGACAGGGAGGACTCACCCCACTAACACTTTATTCCACTTCCACGGAAATTAACTTTGAAAAACTACTAAAACAGAGCCCTGAGCTTTCTTTTGGACTCAGCCACGCTCTCAGCATCGGGTTGGGAAGGATGTTCCACCCCCCTCTGTCCCTCTCCCCTGCTCAGCCTGGATCCAGCCCCTTGCCAAGGAGCAGGGATGTCCAAGGGGGGGTACACAAAGAAGGACAGCTGGTGAAACAAGTGCTAATCCCCATGTCCACCTCCTTAATCTGTTTGCTCATGTATTATCCTGACCAGCAAGGACTATTTCTGGCCTCTGTTGGCCTGGCTGGGCACAGGGCTGGGTGGGCACAGGGACACTCGTGGCTCAGGCACCAATATAATCTGGAAGTGTGGTGAAGCTACTGCAAGTTTGGGGCTAAAGGGACATGTTTTTGTGATTGCCAAGTCATTTCTCAAGGTGTTGGGATCAGAATCACTAGGGAGGACAGGTTGGTGCTCATCTTTTGGGAGCTTTTTAAATGTTCACCAGAACCATTTCAACGCCCTTTGCTAAGGAAAAGCTCCCAGAACTCTTCTCCAGGGCTGGATTCTCAATCTATGGAAAGAGGAAGGTTCTTTTAGAATCACAGAATGGTTTGGGCTGGAAGGGACCTTAAATACCATCTCATTTCACCCCCTGCCATGGGCAGGGGCACCTTCCACTAGCCCAGGTTGCTCCAAGCCCCATCCAGCCTGGCCTTGGACACTTCCAGGGATGGAGCAGCCACAGCTCCTCTGGGCACCCTGTGCCATGAGAGCATCAGGGGCAGAATGGGGTGGTATCAATACCCTCTCCATACCCAGCAGTTATTTCTCTGTTGCCCCATCCCAAGCAGGAACAAGCCCTGAAGTCACTACCAGACAAAACTCAGGGAAACCAGGGGCAGTTTAGCCCCAAACAAGGACTAAAGAAAGAAAACATCAATGAATCGTTTCAGGATTCATCTCCCACATGTCCAGCCATCATTTTCCTCTGCTGGGCTCTGCAAAACGTCTCATGAAAGCATTGATGGACCTGACAGCCCCAAATCCATCATCTGAATTCTTCCAGCAGCTCTGGAACGATCTCTGCAGAAATCCCCCCAAAGCTTCTTCTCCCCCCACCCCTTTCTTGTAAAAGATGCAGATGTTAAGAACACAAAGCATTATTCATTTCCTCCCTTTTCTGACATTTTCAGGTATAAAAAAAAAAAAAAAGGAAGTCAGGTATGAAGGGGACGAGCAGGTTAAGAGCAATCTGTCCGTGCTCAATGAGAGGGAGAAAAAAAGAGAAGTGAAATTGTACATTATTAGATGATCTCCAGTTGCCCTCTCAGCGCAAGCAAGAGCCACATTAGGAGGCAGGGAGAGTTTAAAAGCCTCTAAATGGCTCCAAGGGAGAGGAGCTTGCTGGGGGAGGGAGAAATGCTGCTGCCTGCCAGGTTACACACCAGGAAATCTCAGAGTTTAGGAGGAAGCTGGAGAAGGGTTGTCAGAAAAAGGTGTTTGGCCAACTATAAAAACTGAGTCCTGCTTGTGTGAGGATTAAACAACCAGCAGCAACTGCCACGTCAACATGGGACGGGCAAAGAAAAGGCTCCAAACACCCAGCTTGGAGCTGAGAGGGACAGAAAGCAGATGCTGAGTGTGCCTTGGGCTGGAACAGCCCAGGGAGCTGCGATGGGCTCAAGGTAAAAGCACATCCAGGACACGGCCAGAAATAACCTTGTTTGGAGGAACAGCCAGGATATAAAAGTTATATGTTTAGGGGGGGGGGGGAAATAAAAATAAAAGCTCTGTTCACCTCTTACCAAAGAGCTCCCCAATTAACCAATTAGTGGGAGGTAGCTCAGAGCAGCAGCATCCCTGGCTTGGCTATTACAGCTGAGCATTGCAGGGCCTGCTAATGGGAGATAAATTCCTATCTGGGAAATTGGATGCAATTAGAGTCATTTTAGCGACAGTTTGCAATGGAACTGACCTTTGCTTTCACAAGCAGGGGTCCAACAGAGATATTATGTTTAATAACATTTTATTTGTTGTGGCAGGAAGCTTTTGTGTTTGCAAGTACCAGAATAACTTAAGCTAAGCAAAAAAAAAAACAAACAAAAAACCCACCCAAACATGACGGGAACTGGGGTTTGGAGAATGGTCTGAGATTTAAAACTCCTAAATTCTCGTCTCATCTTTGTCATCAACTCAGTGTGACAGTGACTTGGCCTTGCTATGACTTCTTTGACCCATCATTAAGGCTTGGCTGACTCAAAAATCCCTTGTAGGTCCCAAATTTGCCCTTCTTCCTATTTGGCACTTCCATTCTTTGGTGGTGGCACCTCCCCAGCTCTCACAGGCAATGAGAGCCCACCTTGTGAGGTGAGCTGAGCACTCTGCTGGGAAATCAAACCATCCCTAAGGGGAAGTTCTTGTATTAGGATGAATATTAGGAGTCTTTTCCAAGCCTGTTTTCCACAGCAGATGCACAGGGCAGTCCTTGGGTAGCACCTGAAAGGCACTGCCATTGCAGGGGGACTTTAACCACCACAGCCATAAATAACACCATTGTCTGCACCCACTCACAACTGGGGGACATCAAAACCAGCTCCCCTGGTATTTTCAAGCTTATACACCTCGTTCCCTTCTGCTCTGCTGTTCTGTGCTCCCCAGTCAGCCATTTAACCCCAGGGTCTGCAGCTACCAGGCAAAACTCTCACAAGTCTGGCATCGTGGGCTTAATACACAAAGTGCTTATTTTAAACACAGACTGATGGCTTTTCTCCCAGATAATGATGATTGATTCTGTTTTCCATCCTTTGTCAAGGCTCAGCACATGCCTAGAATTTTAACTAGTCCTTCTTCTGATACTTCCATGCATCCATCTGTTCCCCTGGATCTCTCTCGGTCTCCTGCTTTAAATAATGAACTTTGCTATGCTCAGAACAATCTATTAATAAATAACAATCTCAGAGATTACACAAACCAATTAATAGTAAAGCAGCATCAGGAACTGAAGTGATAGATGCTGCTGAAGAGGGGAGGTGTGAGAGGGTGGTGGAGCTGCCAGTCCTTGTACACACAGGATTAGCAGAACCCCCAACAATAGCTGGGGGCAAACTTGTGCAAACAGTGCCCTGAACAAACTCAGGGGAGTTCAGCACCCACACACTTCTGTGCCAATTGTGCCAGGGAGGGAGCAGGACTGGGTTAATTCCAGCATTCTCCAACACAAAGTGAGGTTTTGGTTGCAGCTGCAGCTCAGGAATATCCAGGAGCAAGTGCAGCTCACGGAGCACTGAGAACACAACACCACCAGTGAGCTTTTCCTCTTTAACCTGTGGTTTGAATGTAGCACAACTGACCTGCTAAAAGACAAAGATCATCTAAATCTGCCCTGTCCTTCTCCCTGTGTTCCAGCTCCCCTTTGCACTGACACAGCGGAACCCAGCTGGGATGGGACCATCCCACACCCCAAATTAAGGTTTGCTCACGTTCTCTGGTGACACACGAAGCAAATGATGACAAACACAAGCAGCAAAAGCTGCAGGTGACATATGGGACACCTGCTGTCCCCTGGGACACATGCTGTCCCCTCAGCCAGGCAGCTCAGTGGCCAGGACTGAGTTCCCTGTTGCCAACACGAAGGGACAGGAGCCTCTGTGGAGAGACTGAGCCCATCTGTGGGCCGGCAGTGCAGGGAGAGGGAACATTCCCCTGGATGCCAGGAGGGCTCTGCAGGGCTATCCCGCTCTCCATAACCATCACACATGGACAGCACTGTTCCCTGCACTGGCTGGGCGCTTAGGAAGGGTCTAAACCTTAGGCTGAGCTCCGTTTTTGCTTCACTGTGTCTCAAGCACACACTTAACACGTTCAGCTGAACGCTCTGCCAACACCCTCGTTTACTGCGTTTGCCGTCTCGTTTGTTCCTTTCATTTTTGCTCTTCGTTCTCCTGTCCTCTCCTCCTTTCCCTTTCATTTCTCAGTGCAGCTCCTGTGGGTTTTTTTCCCCCTCATCTCTCCTCCTCTCTGCCCTTCATAATGACTTAATCTGGCAGGCAGTGTGACAAGCGAGCGAATCGAACACGGAGTTTTCCTGCACTCCAGATTCATTTGAAGATCTCTCCCCGACGCAGCTCTGAAACCCCAGATTCAATTTCCCTCTGACATAATAACAGAATTAGTCTCATATTGTCGTACATAAATTACTCACAAGCCCCGTGTCAGGAGGGAAGGGAAGAGGGAAAAGAGACAAGAGCAGGATTCAAAGGAAGGTGTGACTGTGACAAGCGACAACAGAATAACAATAGGGGACCAGTGGGTGACATCGATCACATGTGACAAACAGGGACAAAGCCATCTCTGTATCAAACAGCAGAATTATTTACCTCTTCTTCTCTCAGCCCTTGAGCCATTCAACCTCATACTGAGGATTTCTGTGTCTTGCCAAAGACACATGAAGTCTAAATAACCCTCGGATTGAAAAATATTGTATCTCTCTCAGTCGAGTGGGGTGGGTTTTTTTTTTATTCTTCTTCACAAGACACCATTCATGGGAACATCCCTGCTGGCCTGAGCTGGGAGAAAGGCTGGGATAGAGCCCAGTGGGAGCAGGCCTGGCTCAGGAGGTGGCAGGCTCTCAGTGGCAGTAACATTGACAGCATTCACACAAAAAAAGACAAGCAGCAAACCAGCACAAACTCCTCTGCCTTCACATGCTGCCCTTTAATTCTTCACTCTGCCTCCTGCACCGGGAGCAATCAGCTGGGTCTGGAGCTCTGAGACAGCACTGCTGACTACAAAACATTCAATATTTGTGATTGAACACTGCTTCTCCCTGTTTGGTTTTTTTTCCCCTGCCTGCCTCCCTGCTCTGATGTCCCACAGTACAGCAGTGATGTTGTCACTGCTGGTTGTCATTTGAATGTCACTGTGCCACGGGAAGAGACACTCCACGGAAAGGATCTGAATTCTCCTGAGCAGCAGCACCTGAGACTTCACATCACATCTCGCTCCTCATCCACCAAAGTGCTCCTGGTAATGAAGCAGCCTGACCTAAACAGAGACAGCTTGGAATTTTCAAGGAATCTCAACAACCTGATGTCCTTTTCTTTTGGTCTTTCAGCAGGCAGCAAATTGGCACTTTGCAAGCGAATACAGAAGGTGAAATGTGGAAGGTGTCAGCAAAAGGCACTTGAGTGAGCAATTCAGAGCTGTGGGATGTATCAGGTCAGAAAATGGTACTATCTATGACACTCCAGTGTGCTTTAAAGCCCTCCAATTAACTGCACTCTTTGAGGTTGGGCAGCTGACACGACGCTCACAAACCCCAGGAATCCCAAAGCTCGAGCATCACTTCCCGTGGGTGTTTCTAAGGGGGAGAAGGCACTGAACACTTTCATTTTCTGTGTAAATATTGGCACCCCTACATGCCCCCAAAAGGATTCTGAGAGCCCCTGAGTTTCTAAACACCAGGAGGGAGGAAGGTGCAGACCACAGTCACCTGCAGAGCAATAAGGATCAGCCTCAGGGATGCTGAACTTCACACCAAAGCCAGGTTTTATTTGCCTGTTGACAGAGTGAATGGCTTTGTTGGTCTTTCCAACCCAGCTCTGAGACAGTAAAGGTCTCTCTAATCGAGCAAAGGCAGAACGAAAACTGGTGGCTTAAAGCTGAAACTAAAGAAATCCAGGTTGGAAGCAGGACATGCTTTATGGTTTTTTTTTTTTCCAACAGAGGATGTGGATTTTGCCCCTCAGTGTCTTCAGTCAAAACTGCCCAACTCCATCTTAAACATACACACACACACACACACACACACACAAAAGAATAAAAACAAACCCAGAACTCTTAATCAGGATAAATTACAAGCTAGATGAGGATTATCAATATTTTTCCTGCTCAGTTACACAGCAGGCAGGAGCATCTGACCCTAATGTCCTTTTTGCTTTTAAAAATTTGCAGAAAGTTTAACTGATCTTTGGATCCCCCACTGTTTTGGCTTAAGAATAACTTGGGGAGGGGGGGGGAACCACAACAAAACCAAGGTTAGCAAATTTGAACTATTAAACAAACAGCATTTGTTGAGAGTCCCATAACAGCTGGATTTGCTCATAGCTGCTTTGACACCCTGGCAAAATCCATTTCTCAGCATTTTCCTCATTAAAAGGAGCTTGGTTTTATATACTCTGCCATGAAAAATTAAGCAGGTTTTCCAGAAATAGTAATGAGCTAAATTGGCAAAGAAGACAAGTCATTTCCACCTAAGTGCACTTTTTTTTTTGCCTCTTCCAGAGCAGCCCTCACTAGGCAGTGGTTCTTTCTCCATCCAACATCCCCAGACAAATCCTTTCTTCTCAGTTTGCTTTGGAAAGGGAGGAAGGGAGGGTCCCAGAGCTCAGGGAGTCTTAAAGAGCAGCAAGACTGATTCAGGTGGGGCTTTAGGAAGCACCAAATAATAGGAGAGGAGCACTGGGACTGCCAAGAGCAGGAGCTCCCCCTCAGCCTGGAGATCCTTGCAAACCCAAACACGTGCTGGAATTTCACCTGCTCTGCAGCTCTGCCCCTATCAAACCATGTCATTTTGGTGCCTAAGTCTTTCCACACAACAGGGAACGTAACTACACCCAGGTTTGAAAGCAAAGTTTGCTCTGCTGGGCTGACTTTGAAACCACCTTGTCCCAGGTAGAACATCCCCCATTCCCTTCCAGGAACGGGGATTCTCCCTCCCCAGAACGGAGGGAACTTTGCCCAGCAGGAGCCTGGGAGATCTCTGTCCCTCCTCCTCCTTCCCCCTTCCATGAATAACGTCAGCCATTGACCTTTTCAAGCACAGCACTTGCTGTAAAATACGGCTGTTCCAGTTCTCACCAGTGCCAGTGGAGGAAGGGGCTGGGGGAGAGTCTCCAGCCTGCTGGCACAGCAGATAAAAGGGCTCCGTGGTTCTAACAACCTACCAGGAAGTTTTATGACTGTATCCCTGGCATTTAAAATTAATACAGTTATTAAGAGAGAGATTGTTTTACAGCTTAATGGCTTTTTAACAAGGTGAATGCCACGAGCCTCTGACTGAGAGGAGGAAAGGGGAAAAGGAGCTTGGAGGGGCTCTGGGCACTTGTGCCTCTTGAAAGGGATCCTCAGTGACAGGAGCTGTGAGGAGCAGCTGAAATCCAGTGAAAACTGGATTTTAATGTGTCACCTGTGCATTATTAACCCCCTGACTGTGGTACAGGAGTCCCCAGAGAGGGGAGAAACAGGAGAGAATCAGTCCAAAGGTGCCTCCAACCCAGTGTGGTGACAGGATGGGGAGGGACTACCCCCTGAGCAGCTGGAGCTTCACCTGTGCTTTCAGCCCCTCTTTCCTGCCCTTGTTCCCTTGGCTGTTCCAGAAGTATCTCACCAAAAAACAGTACTTGTTTGTCTGAGCAGTTTCTGCCTAAAACTCCAAAAATCAGCCCTGGAGCTGAAGCCCAGAGATGAGGAGCCTGTATTGATTTTAATTCACTGCACTTTATTGCTGCATTTAACCAGAAGATTCTTTTTTTTTTTTTTTTTTTTTTTTAATTCTATACATGAATCAAGAAGTAAGAAACACCAGTTCTGCCACTGGCTGGATGGCTGCTAAAACATTGTCTGCAAGGGCCACCAGATTGATTTCTGCTCCCCTGGGCATGGCTCTGTTCACATCAACATCCCTAAAAAAAAAAAATCCAAGATGTGTTGCATCTTGCAGGGGCTGCAAGTTTGAATTGCTGGTCCCAAAAGCAGCCTCAGGGAGCTGGATTCTCTCTCCTTGCTTGCACTGGTTTAGACTGGCATTAGCTTTGCTAGAAGCAGGTTGCTTTCAAACCCGGGTGTAGTTACATTCCTCCTTGTGTGGAAAGACTTAGACACCAAAATGACATTGTTTGATAGAAGCAGAGCTGCAGAGCAGGTAAAACACTGCCCAGTAGGACAGGGAGGTCCATCTCTGGCAAACCACTGAGCTCCCAAGCCCCTGGAATCTTAATTCCAGATGCACTGGATGCTTTTAGCTGCGACAGTGAGATTTGCTGGCCCGTGGCCATCCAAGCAGGCACTTTGCCTCCTGCCATAACAATAACTACATTATTTGCAACATCACAAATCTTTACCTCATCTGCAATCGAGCCCAGAGAAGGACATGGATCATCAGCTAAGTCATTAATAAAGGTATTGAGTAGCTGTGGACCAAAATAATCCATCCCCGGGGAAGGTGCTTTAAACAACCTTCCCCATTGATGCTCTTCCCTCAACAGCTGCATCCCGAGCTCTCATCCATCTCACGCTCACCCCATTAATCCCACCTCATGGAAGTTTTTCTTACTCAAAATGTCAGGTGATGCCCAGTCAAATGCCTTGGAGGGAGCCAGGGATACGCTGCCAGCCCTGCTGCCTGCCCCAGGCAGGGGTGGCACATCAGGCAGATCAGAGCAGCCAACAGGTCTGGCTGACGAGACCGACGCTGTGCTGACTCACAGCCTTTTCAGTTTTATCCTCTGGTTTGTTCTTGCCACGCTCCCAGGTCAGCCATTCCTCTGGGTAACGGGGGTTTGACCTCCCACTGCTGCTCTCACCATCTGGCTTTGGCTCTTTTTGCCCTCACTGAAGCCCTGCAGACCTCAGGAGGGCTCGGCAGAACGTCTCGGAGCAAGGGCTGCCTGAAAGGGCTTTCACCTTCAGCTGAGCAACCACACGGGCACGTGCCGTGGGCAGACACACATCCCTCACCTTTCCAAAGGCTTTATTAGCTAATGCAGCTCCAAGGCTCCCAGACACCAGGGCTGGCTTGGATCCAGCCCCAGCAGCACAAGGGCAGGGTGAGCTCACGTCTGTCTGCAGCCGTCCCCGAGGATGTTCCAGCAGAGAGGGAGGAATTTAAATTAACACCTTGGTTCCTAAGGAGGTTTCAGTGCCTCCATGAGCAGAGTAGAGCCATAGAATCGTGGATTGGAAGGGACCTTAAAGCTCATCTCCTTCCACCCCCTGCCATGGGCAGGGACACCTTCCACCAGCCCAGGGACACCTTCCACCAGCCCAGGTTGCTCAGACCCCCCTCCAGCCTGGTCTTGTGCACAACACAGCTGAGTATCAGCTCAAAGGACAGGAAAAGTTTCCTTTTTTGGCTCTTTTAGGTTCTCTGACGCACAAAACTGTGTACAAAAATATCTATTATTGAGATAATAGAAATAAGGTGACGCAAATCATCTTTCAATCAAGAATCAAACTGCTCTGCTTCTTTTTGTCCCTGCATTACACACCCAGAACGTCTGTGGAAGCTGCCAAATCTAACCTCAGCTTACCTATATAACTGGGGAGGAGGAAGCTGCCTTTATTCCAGGCTTCTCAATCTCCTGTGTTACTCCTTCCTAAAATTCCTAAACCCTTTGGAAAAGCTGCCACCCTCACAAAACCAGATAAAATCTGGAGAGATTTTATTTCCAGGCCGTGACTTGGCAGGAGATCTCCTCCTTTTGGTGAGCATGACCCAGCAGAGCAGTGGTTAAATTTAGCATAATCATTAAAAAAAGGGGGCCTGTTCACCTGTCTGGAGTGAAAGGTGCAGGTGCTGACACTTCAGGATGGAGATGTCAATGTTTCCCCCGTTCCCCTCATCCTGCCCCATCTCCCAAAACGCTGAGCACTGAGCCATGCAGGACCAAAAACAGCAAAGCAAAGCACCTCTTTGCTTTGCAGGCAGCAGGCTCTCCAAAAATCCTTTGCGAGGAGAGAGAATAAATAAGCTCTGAATGACACAGTTTTTAACAACAAAATCATTCCACGGACAGAGTGTGTAATGAGTTCCAGTCAGAGCAAGTTATAGAGGAATAATTTTCTAGTACCTGGAGCTAGCAACCACTTCATGGATGCTTTTTATTCCTAGGTTGTAAATTGATTTTATACATCATTTATCAATGGAGGCCTGGCTATATAATAGGTATATTTTAATATTTATGCCTCTCCACCCGCATGCTCAGCAAACAAATGGGAACAATAGGACATGGTTGGTGTTACAAGTCACTGGGATATCTCCCCCTGCTCCCAGGTAAGGGTGATGGAGGTCTGCAAGTGACAGATAAACCCAGGGAAATTTGATTACGTGATGCATAAAGAATGACTGAAGAGGATTAGAGAAGTGCTGAGGGCTTAAGTTTTGTGTTGCATTTCCATATATTGCCTTTACAAGCCAAAGGCACCGGAATCCT